TGCAATCTCTTACGGGGAATTGCTAATGTGGAGATATTTTTAGATGACGTCATCATAGGCGGTAAAACAATTAAAGAGCATTTGGAGGCATTACAGACTGTCTTTAGTAGATTACATAGTTTGGGTCTCAAGTTAAAATCTAGCAAGTGTGTGTTCTTAGTTAAAGAGATTCGATACTTGGGTTACGTAATCAGTAGGGAAGGGATCAAAACGGATCCATCGAAAATCGAAGCCATTGTAAAACTTCCAAGGCCGAGTAACGTTTCGGAACTTAGGTCATTTTTAGGAATTTTAAATTTTTACGGGAAATTTATAAAAAACATGAGTGGCAGGTTGGTTCCGTTATATGAGTTATTAAAAAAAGATAAAGAGTGGTGTTGGTCGGCGGAATGTGAAAATGCATTTACTAAAATTAAAAAAATACTAAGTAGCGTGGACACCCTAGCTCATTATAATTCTAGGAAACCATTGATAGTGACGTGCGACGCGAGTGGGCGCGGCATCGGCGGCGTGCTAACGCAGATCGACGCCGGCAGCGGTGGTGAGCGCCCGATTGCGTATGCGTCGCGCACTTTGACCGATGCCGAAAAAAACTATTCACAGATACATCGCGAGGCATTGGCTATAATTTTTTGTGTAAATAAATTTCACCAATATTTATATGGCCGACATTTTACGTTGCGGACAGACCACAAGCCTCTTGTATCAATTTTCGGACCGAACACAGGCATCCCCGCAATGGTAGCTAGTCGTATGCAGCGGTGGGCTATTATCCTGTCGGCTTACTCGTTCGACATTGAATATGTGCGAACAGAGGAGAATAGCGCGGACGGTCTGTCGCGGTTACCAATCGACTGTAATAAACAAAGCGAGCCGACGCCACCCGAGCAAACTTACTTACATTGCATTCAGGATTCTTTATGTTTAGACTACAATGAAATAAAAAACCAGACGGGACGGGATCCAATACTGGCTAGGGTATTGCTATACATACGAGACGGTTGGCCTGCACATTGCGAATTGGCAAATATGAAACCGTACTGGAATAGGCGAAATGAGTTGTACGAGGAATTAGGTTGTGTTATGTGGGGGCACCGGTTAGTGGTGCCCGAACAATGTAAAAATAAAATTTTAAAAATTATTCACGAACCCCACATGGGCATAGTAAAGTCAAAGGCGCTCGCCCGCAGCTATGTGTGGTGGGCGGGTATCGACGAAGCGGTGGAGCGCGCGTGCCGGGAGTGCGAGACGTGCGCGGCGCAGGCGGACGCGCCGCCACGGCAGACGCCGCGCATGTGGCCCTGGCCCTCGCGCCCTTGGACCCGCCTCCATTTAGATTTCTTGGGACCAATTGGGGGGAAAACATTTTTGGTGATAGTGGATGCGATGTCGAAGTGGATCGAAGTTTTCCACATGACGGGGGTCTCGGCGAGCTATTTAATTGATCGATTGAATGAATTATTCAGCCGGTTCGGTATACCGAGGCAGATCGTCACGGATAACGGTACGCAGTTTACGTCAAAGGAGTTTGAATATTTTAACCGGTTCTACGGCATACAACACATTTTTACTCCACCGTATCATCCATCGTCGAACGGGTTAGCCGAAAACGCGGTTAAAACGCTTAAGAGAATAATTAAAAAAGCGCTGCAAGAGAAGCGGGATATACACAGGGCTCTGTGGTCGTTTTTACTTTACTACCGAAACGTGGAACATTGTACGACTGGCGAGAGCCCGGCGATGCTCTTACTCGGCAGACCGATACGTACGCGCCTGGATGCAATAAAACCGGATCGAGAGGCCCAAGTACGTTGCGCACAACAACGCCAGCAGGAGGCGGCCGGCGGGGCTAACCGGACTTTCGGCAAATCCGATACAGTTTGGTACAGGCAGTATCTGAAAGGGGAGAAATGGATTCCGGGGCAGGTAGTAGACGTTCTGGGGGGTAGTAACTTTAAGGTAAGAGGCTCCGATGGTGGAGTGGTGCACAGGCACATCGATCAGTTGCGTAGGAGACCGAGCGAGGGCAGGCAATCGTTTGCGTCTGCCCCGCCGGGGTTAGGCGAACATCCAGTCAGTGCGAACGCTCAAGGATCAGACCCCGGGGACGCGGGGTCGGAGGTGGACGATTCGGAGGGGTCGGCGGGGTCGGGGGCGTCGCGCGTGGTTGAGCCGCCGGCGTCGCAGCCGCAGCCCGCTCCGGCTTCACCGGGCGGGACGGGACATGTGTCCCCGGCTGCCGCACTTAGAGCTCGCCCTATTAGGCAGTGCCGATTAATTAAGCCTAAGTAATTATTAAGATCGTGGTGTTTTACTTTACTTACGGTAAGAGTTGTTATTAAGTTGTGTAATTCCCAGTAAGTGTTTCCTTAGTGTCTAAGTAGTTTATTA